GGGGGGGGCATTGCCCCTTCTAGACATCATAGGCTAACAGAAAGAGTTTAACACAGAGCTTCTGTCCAAGGACCCACACTCTGCAGACTCTTACTCTCTAAACATTGACCGTTTGTGACCTTTTGTGTTCCTGGCCCTCTGTTACATGAGGGCACTTCTTTGATGAGAATTGAGAGATGCATTAGTGCTCTCTTTACTCCTTATTCTATGTTCCATGAGCCTTAGGTGTAGAGAGGTTGCATTGCAAATGCTCCATTGACTTGGGAAATTCACAATGTCTGGGTGTGAACAGTTGTGGAACTCTGCAGTATTCTCCATCTATTGCAAAAGAAGTTTCTTTGATGAGTGGTGACTGGCATACTTATCTATAAATATAAGGACGCATATTTTGCACATAGCAAGAAATACACTTGTCTAGGAACGTGACAGTCTCTTAAATTTTCTGAACCATATTTCTTTCCTGCTATGGCAGTTGATGGTTCCTGGGTGAGGGAAAGGCATTTTTTTTTCTTAAAATTTTTATTTGTTATGTTTATTATATATATATATATGTATGTATGAATGTATAACGTATATATGTATCTAAGTGGGTTTTTATAGAAGATTAAATTTGGGATATAGTTGATTATCTATTGATCATGTTCTTTAAAGTAAATAATTTTAACCATTTACCTTAATCATCTATTATTTGTGTAAAAATATAATGTTCTGACTTTGTAAGAACAAGATGGGCAGAAAAAAGTCAAGATTTACATAACATATTAGCATGTTTCCTATTTCATAAAGAAATTATCAATAACACTTCAAATATATACATTATAATTAGAGGGGTTCTGGAAATTTTCATGATGACCTGAATAAAATGAAATATCTTAATTATATTAATGCTAGTTTTTAGTTTAGGAAGCACACAATAAAAAATAGAAGCCTATTTCTTCCTTGACATCTTTAATTCCAACTGTAAACTATAATTAAAGTCATATTTCTCTTACCTACATTTCCTTCTTTTTAAATTATAGTTATGCCACAGTAGAGAGGTGACGTCACCTTTGTTGGGAAGGAAACATTTCATTTCAGTCTTAAATGTGTTCTGAAATGTGATTGAATTCTAAACAGTATTTTTATCTCTTATGTACATTTTGCTTCCTTTCACAAAACTGGAAATGTAGGAAGATATATCTTCCACATGGTTCAAGAGTATATGATCAAATTACTGGGAATAAAAGCAAATTTTAAAGCACTGTACATGGATTATTGTTGTAATATGGAAATCTGTATTTTTTATTTAGAGATAAATTGCTAAAAAATTAGTAGGAAAATCATTGAAATGATCAGAAATGTAAGTATATTTTCCAAAACATCAAACTTTATTATTAACAATATTTTTAGACATTGTGTAAACTTAATATTGTAGCTGTGACTAAGAACCTGACATGTCTTTCCCATTATTGTAAGTCAGAAGAAGACAATACGTCATTTTAAGCTTACACAATTTGGAAAATTTTTGTTTATGTTTTCTTTTTATAAGTTGCTCTATTTTTTATGCCTACAGGTTCCATTCTGATCTGTGTTCACCTTCAAACTGCGATGAGATTCATGACCGGGTAAAGGATGTCTTGAAATCACATCAGGCTCATCCAAGACATTTATGTGTTAGTTTCTAAAATTTTCTCCTGAAGGTTTTTAAATAATAGT